CCTAGAGAATCTATGCACATGTAAAGTTTTTTGGCAGCAGTATTTTTATCTCTCTCTCTTCCCCTACCATCCATCCACCCACCCACAGTATCTATCTACTGAGGCATGGTTGCTCATAGGCTTAAAAACGCTGGATATTGTCTTTGTTCTGGCAGTTTGAGTCTTCGCACCACATAATAGTGTGAGCTCCTGTTACTTGTCTCAGCCTCTGCCCACCTAGCAGTTCAAAAGCATGCAAATGTGAGCAGATAAATAGGTACCACTTCGGTAGGAAAATAATGGCATTTTGTACAGTAGTGTGAACCCAGCCAGTGCTGGACCGTCCCCAAAGCGACACCCGAGCATGAGGCAACATCAGTGGAGGGAGAAGCCCCAGATGACACTGCAGAACACCACCGAACCTTTCTGCGTGTGGAGCTAGTCCACCCCCTGTGGTGTATTCTGGATAGTGTGCGAGTATAAACTGGCTAATGTAACATTGCCATACTTTCTCTCTCTCCATCCATCCATCCCATTTAGAAACCACCCATCTCCCTCACACAAAGTGACTCTGGGCGGTGTACAAATAAGACATAGAAAAATATATGTTACATTAAGAGGCAATTAAAATAAGATTAGAGTTTTAAATTAAAAATTTAAGAAGTAGGGAAGGGCCATCAAAGCATCAACCAGCCCCATGCCTGTGTGTTTCTTTGTGGACCTCAAGTCAGTTGGCAGAGCAGGCCTTCAGATTTTTCCGAAAGGCCGGGGGTGGGGGACACACCTCACCTTTGGGGGGGGGAATGTTCCAAAGGGCAGGGGAAACAGCAAAGAAGCAAAATATAAGTGGTGGCTTCTTTTTCCAGTATCCTTTTTAAAATACTTGTTTACAGTCCTATGATTGCCTGGTGGCCTCTGATCCAGGGCCTAAGCAGGTCTCACCCTGCTTACCTTTTGTCAAAATCAAATTTAGCAAAACTTGCTAAAGGCTTCTACCTGCTATAGTGTTTGCTGAGGCATATTTTAAGATTTTAGATTAGTTATCATAGGTAATAATCACTGATAGAGCATGCAGGGTTAACGGTTTCAAGTATATCCAGCCCAAAACGATGTCTGTACAGAAAGTCCTCGTTTAGTGACAACTGGCAATCCAGTCATTAAGTGAATTGGTTTCTAAGTGAAACCATGACCGTGCTTAGGATCTCACTTCAGTTTTCCTTTGCTTTATACACCTGTAAAGGTTGTAAATGGAAGGATTGGTCATAAAGTGACTCTTTTCATCACCATTGTCACTATATGAGGATTACCTATATAAGGTTTGAAACTGAATCCTGAAACTGAATCCTCTTCACCCACAAGCTAGTGCTTTCAGAGCATTGGCTGCATCAAAAAAAAAAAAAAAAATCACGTGGTCCAACTCTGTTCAACACTAGACAAGCTAGCGAAGTACTGCACAACAATTTAAGAAACATGCTTGGATGATTTTTCCAGGAAAAAGAGAGATATCCTGGGAGCAAAACGTCTTGACAGGATTCTTGCGGCATCATTACTTAACACCAAGATTGATAAAGTCCAGTTCCTTTTTACAAAGTTTTCTTAGAGAGACAGCTACCCAATAAAAAACGAAGCTGATCAGGTCTAATTTTTAACAATAAGGAGCTGCCTTATGACTTCTTTTAAATGCCAACAGCCATAAAACAGCATCTCTTCCTTTCCCAAGAGCAGAACGTAATCTAATTGTATCCCTTGATGGTATGTTAGCACTAGACTATAAAAAATTACTGTTGAGCAAAAGGTATACCGCAGCTACACCACAGAAGAACCACCAGACAAAAGAATTTAACAATGTGAATTCTGCAAGCTGCTTATTACGTCATTTCATTTCCTGCCTATTACAGGAACAGTCTGGCATCCTTCCAGCTGCAGTTGCGCTAGTGAGTTTCCTCTAATCCAGTGTTTCCCAAACTTGACAATTTTAAGGCATGTGGACTTCAACTCCCAGAATTCCACAGCCAGCGTTGCTGGCTGTGGAATTCTGGGAGTTGAAGTCCTCATGCCTTAAAATTGTCAAGTTTGGGAAACACTGCTCTAATCACTTACCGACTATTGGAAAATAGGATTTTCAAGTTCTCACAGTAACAATAACCCACTTATTTTAAAATCTTAGAACATAAGTGTAAAATTTGACAGATTTGGAGAGTTTCAAGACTGCTTTCTTCTATATATTCTTTCTCCCGTTAAACAGCTAAGGTGTCCTACAGGTAGTCCTCAACCTATGACCACAATTGAGCCCAACATTTCTGTCGCTAAGTGAAACATTTGTTAAGTGAATTTTGCCCCATTTTACGACCTTTCTTATTACAGTTAAGTGAATTCACTGCAGTGGTTAAGTTAGTGGCAGTGAAATGAATCTGGTTTTCCCATTGACTTTGCTTGTCAGCAGGTCGCAAAGGGTGATCATGACTCCAGAACGCGGCAACCGTTATAAGTATGAGTCAGTTGCCAAGCATCTGAATTCTGATCATGCTAAGATAGGCTAAATGAAAAAATAAACTTCCCGTGCATTGAGTAAAATCACATCATCTTCCTTCTGGTGAAGAGTCACACACTGCTCTGGACTAAATACCCCAAAGTGCTTCAGAAAATGGGATGGCCCAATTGCAACAACGGCAGTGCTTTAACCCAGCTGCATCTTTTCCCAGGGTGAAACAGCAGCTGTGGAAGGCAGCCATACAATCCTGGAAAAAGTTGCAACTGATTTAAAGAGGCGCAATAGAATATTTGTAGCTCAAGCCTTTGAACTATGGGGTTAGAGAAGACTCCTGCGAGTCCCCTGGACTGCAAGGTGATCCAACCGGTCAGTTCTAGAGGAGATCAACCCTGACTGCTCTTTGGAAGGCCAGATCTGAAGTTGAAACTCAAGTACTTTGGCCACCTAATGAGAAGGAAGGACTCCCTGGAGAAGAGCCCGATGCTGGGAAAGATGGAGGGCAAGAGAAGAAGGGGACGACAGAGAATGAGGTGGCTGGATGGAGTCACTGAAGCAGTAGGCGTGAGCTTCAATGGACTCCAGAAGATGGTAGAGGACAGGAAGACCTGGAGGAATGTTGTCCATGGGGTCGCGATGGGTCAGACACAACTTCGCTACTAACAACAACGAGCTCAGGGCTGAACTCTGCGGTGTTTAGTGCTCTCTAAGCTTACTTGTTTCGCTGCAGACATTTCATTACCCAACTAGGTAACATCTTCAGTGCAATGCTTGAAAGAGTTGCAGACAGTGTTGCAATTCATTTTGTAAAGTATTTATTCCAAATTATTTTTGAAGTGTATGTGGGTATTAATTTGTTAAAATGGTTTTATTTCTGCTTTTTAAAATTATTTGCATTTATCAGAACTTGCTGGGGGAGGGCTGGTTTTTTTTGACATAGCATTAATAAGATTAGCATTAATCTTGTTTTAGATATCCTGCAGATTTGGCTTTCGGCTGTGCATAATTTATTGTTGTGAGAGACTTCTGTGTTGTAGTTCAAAAGAAACTGACCTAGTTTACAAAGCAAATAACATTTCCCAAACATCACAGTGTCCTACTGTAGGTTATTTCCAAAGCAGACTTTATTTTTCAAGCTCCTTACTTGAGTAGTTGCAGAAACAACAGGGGATGAAAGAGTCAAGACGTTGTCTTTTGGCCACACCAAGAAAATGGCATAGACTGCGGGTCCCTTTGAGGTGTACCTGGAGGGGAACATAAGGCAAACACATGGAACTGTGGTAAGCAACATGGAAATACTGAAACAGAAGACACGATCCGCCCTGGAGATAACAAGCCTTTCATTTGTACAACTCCTTCCCTTGATCACCTTGGCTGAAGGTGAAGGCCAAAACACCTAGCTTTTCTCACACGCTGCTGGGGCTGATCAGCCCCGTGTGGTGAAATCCTCAACCTCACACAGCCTCTGAACATGCAAATATTGCATTACAGTCCGTCCTTGTTTTTCCACTGCTGCCGTCAACAACATGGCAGGGAACCTGGCAGAGCCTGCATAAAACATTCCACAAACTGCCACTGCCGAGAAAGGCTCTTGTAGAGCAAGGCTTTTCAGCCTTTTCACCCATTGTACCACTTGTAGGATATGGCAGTATCCAAGGACCACCAGTTGCCTAGCAAGGTGTCAAAAACGTGATATAAAAAAAAAAGGAAAAAAGTGATAAACTACAGGTAGTCCTCGACTTATAACAGTTCGCTTACTGACTGTTCGAAGTTACAATGGCACTGAAAAAAGTGTCCCCCAAGCCACAGCCGAGCAAGACACCTGCCTGCCCACCTGGCGGCGCTCTTCCTCCTGTCCGAGGTTTTCATTGTTGTGAGCATTTCGGTTGAGGATTGGCAGCGGGGGTGGGGTGGTGTTTGGTTTTTATTCCCCCCATCTGCTGGGTGGTTGCAGCAGGTTTTGGTCACTTCACATGACCCTGGGACCGTCATAAATATGAATCAGTTGCCAAGCATCTGAATGTAAATCACAAGACCCTGGCGAGGCTGCAACATTCCAGCTGATCGGCGCTTCTTCTGGGCTCAGCAGAAGTGCCAGGATCAGTGCTGCTTTCCAGCTGGAGCCTGGCGCTGATCCTGGTGCTTCCACTGAGCCCTGACAGGCCTGCAGCTCCAGCATCTCTCGCTCAGGCTTGTGCGGTGCAGCCACCGGTTCAGCTCATTCCCCTCCCCCACTACTACTTTTCTAGGATGGTCGCGTACCACCTGCCAGATGCCAATGTACCACAGGTGGTACCCGTACCACTGGTTGAAAAGCCCTGTTCTAGAGTTCTTTGTCTTGAGATACCTCCAAATCTCCCCACCCTTGTTTATAACCATGTGCTACTCCTTCAGAGCTGGGCTGGAATCAGGGAAGCTTTCCTATGACTTTAGATCTCCTTTTAAAAGGCAGGGGGGAAAATCAGACATTTTTTGTTTTGTTTTGTTTTACAAAATAAAAACAGTCCCACCACCTTTCTCTTACCCTCCACAGATCCATCAAAGCACCGGAAAGTCAACTAAAGTAAAGGAAGCCTTAAGTTCAATTATCTTTGAACAAGGAGAGGCTACCAGGACAGTCCTCTGAACAGCAGTTGCAAAAAGGCTGTAATCCAGCCACGTCCCATCACTAAGTCCAAAGTAGCACAAAAAAAAAAAAAAAAAAAAGCCAACTCTGAAAACAAATATTCATGAACTGAACAATAAAAGAGGAGAGGGTTCTAATGCTCAGTCAATTGAATTTATACCGGTTATCTGTATTTAACCAGATTTTTTTCCTGCATCTTCAAAGTGCAGCATCAGAAAGAGTACAGAGAAGAGCAACAAAGATGATTAGGGGACTGGAGGCTAAAGCATATAAGGAACGGTTGCTGGAATTAGGTATGTCTAGTTTAATGAAGAGAAGGATGAGGGGGGACATGATAGCAGTGTTCCAATATCTCAGGGGCTGCCACAAAGAAGAGGGAGTCAAGCTATTTTCCAAAGCGCCTGAAGGCAGGACAAGAAGCAACGGATGGAAACTAATCAAGGAGAGAAGCAACCTAGAACTAAGGAGACACTTCCTGACAGTGAGAACAATTAATCAGTGGAACAACCTGCCTCCAGAAGCGGTGAATGCTCCAACACTGGAAGTTTTAAAGAAGAGACTGGACAGCCATTTGTCTGAAATGGTGTAGGGTTTCCTGCCTGAGCAGGGGGTTGGACCAGATGACCTCCAAGGCCCCTTCAACGTTATTATTATTAGTGTTATACTTCAGTAAAAACAAAACACATTTAAACCTTACCCGAGATGCTTGATGACTATTCTTTCAGCTATTTTTCTGAATGTTCACAGTGTAACCAAAACAGAGAGAGAGGCAAAAACATGTCCACTTCTAAGGTAAAAGTGTGTATAGGTAGTCCTTGAGTTACGACCGTCATGAAGCCTGCCCATGACGGTCATAACTTGTGATGGTTATAAATCAGGTCACCCACACGACAGATCAGATTTAACAATCTTTTTTTTTGCAGTGGTGGTTAAATGAATCACTGCAGTTGTTAAGCTGAAAATAAGACAACTCCTTGTTTTCACCGAAAACTTCCTAATGGGTGGCCTGCTTGCTAAACGTGGCCATGTGATTGCAGGGGAGAGTTGGAACTACGAATCTGGAATGTCTCCCCCCTTACCCCCCCAAGGTCCATCATAAGTTTGAGAAGTAGAGCACTCCTATAATCTTATCAGTCTCTCAGAGAAGATCTACTCCAGATCCAGCCAGAAAGTTACAGAAATTTGCTTAGGCCAGGGGTCTTCAAACTTGGCCCTTTTATGACTTGTGGACTTCAACTCCCAGAATTCCTCAGCCAGGCAGGCTGAGGAATTCTGGGAGTTGAAGTCCACAAGTCATAAAAGGACCAAGTTTGAAGACCCGTGGCTTAGACCTTCAACCTTGTGACATCTACAGTTGTGTATTTGATGACGCCTCCTCTTGTTTCTAAGCAGACTTGCTCGACTTAACATTTTGTTTAGTGACTGTTCGAAGTTACAACACCACTGGGGAAAAAAAAAGGGCTTATCACCGTTTTCTACACTTACCACCATAGCCGCATCCCCACGGTCACATGATCAAAATCTGGGCACTTGGCAACTGACATGTATTTATGACGGTCGCAGTGTCCCAGGTTCATATGATCACCTTTTGTAACTTTCTGACGCGCCAAGTCAACGGGGAAGCCGTTAAAAACCATGTTACTCAGTTAACAGCTGCAAGTGATTTGCTTAACATCTGGGGCAAGAAAGAACGTAAAACCGGGCAAACTCGCTTAACAATTGTCTCCCTTAGCAACAGAAACCTCAAGCTGGGTTATGGTTGTTAAATCAAGGACTACCTGTAATGCCAAATTTTTGCTGACATAGAAACAACAACTTCCTTCTCCGAGAACAAGCAGGCCCTCAACGAACTTTTCTCTTACCAGGTCTCCTCACTGCGATTCTCCTTCTGCGTCCGCCATGGCTTGGATTCATATATGGCCTCCCCATTGACCTTCAGCCAATTCCCGAGGGCCAGGAGCCTCTCTTGAAAAATCGGAGCAATCAATCCTTCTTTGGTTGGCCCCACATTGAGAAGGTAATTTCCTCCGTAACTGACAGTGCGCACCATTTGCTGTGGCAAAAAGCAGAACGAGGGCAAAAATGTATTTTCAAACTTTACCAAAATGCTTTTAACCTGCTGGCACCCCAGACTTTTGAAAACATTTGGGTACGCTGCCGTGAAAGCATCTGCCAGGGCATTTAAATATTGATTGGGAAATTAATAATAATAATAGTAACGTTGGAAGGGACCTTGGTCATCTAGTCCAACCCCCTGCTCAGGCAGGAAACCCTATACCATTTTGGACAAATGGCTGTCCAGTCTCTTCTTAAAAACTTCCAGTATTGGAACATTCACCGCTTCTGGAGGCAGGTTGTTCCATTGGTTAATTGTTCTCACTGTCAGGAAGTTTCTCCTTAGTTCTAGGTTGCTTCTCTCCTTGCTTAGTTTCCACCCGTTGTTTCTTGTCCTGCCTTCAGGCGCTTTGGAAAATAGTTTGACTCCCTCTTCTTTGGGGCAGTCCCTGAGATATTGGAAGACTGCTATCCTGTCCCCCCCATCCTTCTCTTCGTTAAACTAGACATACCCAATTCCAGCAGCCGTTCCTTATATGCTTTAGCCTCAGTCCCCTAATCATCTTTGTTGCTCTTCTCTGTACTCTTTCTAGAGTCTCAGCATCTTTTTTACATCGTGGTGACCAAAACTGGATGCAGTATTCCAAGTGTGGCCTTATCAAGGCCTTGTAAAGTGGTATTAACACTTCACATGATCTTGATTCTATCCCTCTGTTAATGCAGCCCAGCACTTTGTTGGCTTTTTTGGTGGCTTGCTTCCATCCCCTCACGTCTTTCATCCCAGATTGTCCTTGGGGGACAGGGGCTGAGGATATGGGGGGAGGGGGATAATACACTTTTAAAGATTGGGCAGCAGCCACCCACCACTCATTCTTTCTAAGAAGGCCCATGAACACTCTGTATGGGACCAGAGGCATTATGGGAATCAATACTAGATATTGCTGGGTTTTGTTTTTTTTTGCTCCTTGGTTATTTATTTTTATTACAAAAGTAAGTACTTCTAATAAGAGTAGCAGGAGTATTCTATAAGGAAAAAGCAGTGAATCAAGGCACATGGGGAACCTGATGGATACCAAAGTGCCTTCAAATAGTTCTTGACTTATGACGATAAAGGAGCATTGAATTATGGCTGTACGTTGTACTGCTCATTAAGCGGGTCATCAACTGACTCGATTTTTTAGTGGTGGCCATTAAATGAATGCGGCAGTCATTAAGCGAACCCATTGCTTGCAACGGGCATTTTTTGCTAGAAAGCAGAAGTAAACAAGACATTGAACACAGAGGTCACGTGACGGCTGCAAACCAACTTGGAATCTGAGTTATTGGTATCTTTTGGGGATGGTCTTTGAACCAACTTCAAATGGTCACAAAGCAACCATTAAACAAGCAACCAGTCGTTAAGCAAGCAACCGGTTGTTAAGCAATACCTCCTGTAAACTACCAGTATATATTCATTCATCCCAAGGGATTTCCTAACCCAGACCTAAAAATAACAATGTGAGTGTGAGTCATGTGAGTCACTTTAAGCTGAAGGATACTTTATATATAGTACTGATTTTGAAATGCTTTAATCATTATCCACTGAAACAACCCTCCGTTTCTTAATTAAGAGATAATAATGATCCTAGTTAAAGATAATTATTACCGGTAGTTGCATTTATGTATTCCTGGAAACCATTCCTGCTTTCGAAGGCCTAACAAAATCCCATTTTTTATATTCATCATTGTTTTTTTTAATATTTATCATCTTTGTACTTCTGAGGCTACCTGTGCAAGACAAGGTCAACACGCACATGTAGCCTCATAGTCAGCAAGTGCACGCACAAAATGGAGGCCAAGGCTGCAAGCGGGCCCTGGCCAGCTGAGTGGAAAGGAACACTAGGAGGCTGAAAATTACCTCAGGAATATCTGTAGAAAATTCCTGCTCCTTGCTTTACTAGCATTATCAGTTGCAGGAATTGACATTTCTCCTCCATCAGGCCACCTAGATTTGCTCCGTTGTTCATTCACCTTTTCAATTTGAGCCAGTTTGGCTTTAGTGATTAAGGCACCAGGCTGGAAACTAGGAGACTGTGAAGGCCTCAGGCCTGGAAACCGGCTGGATGACCCTGCATCAGTGCTTCTCTCTCAACCCTTTCTCTCAACCCTCAGCAGGGTTGTTGCTGAGGGGAAAGTGTATATTACATACATTCACGGCCTGGAACAACTTTTAATAACTTTCAGGATAAAAATCAAATAATAGCCTCTCCCTGCAATCTCACCAGCAATCTTGGATACAAATGTGGAAAAAGCAGCTTTAAATCTAGGTTGTACCGAGCCCATTTCTGCAGAGTGGTTAGAATGCAGTATTGCAGGCTAACTCTGCTCACAACCTGGAGTTCGATCTTGACCGAACTCAACCTTCCATCCTTCCGAGGTCGATAAAATGAGGACCTAGATCAGTGGTTCTCAACCTGTGGGTCGGGACCCCATTTGGGGTCGAACGACCATTTCCCGGGGGTCACCAAACAACGCAGTCTGCCATTTTTTCCCCTTTTCCTTAGCTGTGCTTTCTATTGAAAGCCAATAGAATAGACTCTCTTGAATAGAGTCTAATTCTATTGGCTTTCAAAAGCCAATAGGAATTGTCCAGGCTGTCTCTGCCCTGCTGAGCCTGCCAAAAGTCCCATTCTGCAAACAGTGCTGCACCAGTTGAGTAGTCCTCGACTTACGACTGGTTGAGTAGTCCTTGACTTACGACCGATTGGGGGTCGTGGCATTAAAAAGGTTGAGAACCACTGACCTAGATTGTTGGGGGCAATATGTTGACTCTGTAAACTGCTTGGAGAGGGCTGTAAAACACTATAGGGTGGTATAGGGTCCAAGTGCTACTGCTATAGCTCTAGCAGCTCTTTGTAAGTTCCACTGAAGTGGGCATTCTCAGCCTTTGCTTGCCCTTCCCAGCGCTCACCAAAATAATGGTGGACTCATTTATGACTTCAGAAATTTGCATGTTGCTGCGATACCCCCATGACCTTTTGTCAATAGAGTT